AAAAAAAAAAATACTGATAGTAATATTAATAAATAAAAATAATAAATAAAACAAAGTGTTTAAAACATCATACATAGATTCATTTTTTAAATTATCTCGATATCAATTATCAACGAGTAGAGAAATCAAGAGAAATCACGAAATCGAAGATCGACACGACCCAATTGACCTTTCAACCGTAAAGCTTCAAACTTCCAACTTGCTTCCAACTTGTTCCACTTTCCACCGGTTAAAAATAATTTTATCATTTTATCTCAAAACTCGTACAATTTTCGTTTTTCTAAGGAAAGAATGCCTAGAATCGACGAACGTGGAACCATCTGTTCCAATCTGTTCAAAATCTGACCAAACTTCTTCTTTCCTTTCCTTTCCTTTTCTCTCTCTTTCTCTCTCTCTCTCTCTCTCTCTCTCTTTTCCATGGATCGCGACCCGATACATTTCGTCCAACATCCACGAGACCATCCATTCGCCCTTAAAACGAACTATTATAGCTACAATGCAACTGGATACTGGATTTCCTCGGCTTGATTCGCCTCGACACGGTCCACTGGGTAACCTCAATTTCCCTACAGGTCACACGGTAGGTACCCCTCTCAGGAGACACAGGATTACTCGGGATACCTATTACAGACGAACGTAGACTATCGTTCCTATCGAGCCTGAATAATGCGAACGTTATTCCTCGAAATGAGTTTTGGGTGTTCAGAGTGGGTCGACCTCGCTCTGTTGACGCATATCCGCGATGCACGTGTGCGCGCATGCGCGTGCGCGTGTGTGCGCGACTGTTTACCTATCGTGTTTGCAATGTGTCTGATAATCGATTTGCAAGGTGTTCCGTGCTATTAATTGGGCTGGGATAATTTCGTTACCTCGATTTTGAATAAATTCTTTGGTTGATTTGTAACGCGAAGAAGGAAGAAAGGAATGGGTTCGAATTGTGATTTTTTAATTTTAATATTAAGATTGAGGTTAACATTGTATTTATATACTTCGATAGCAGGAAAGATCTATGAAATTTGAAGAAGCAATAATTCGAAATATAATGTAAATTAATAAGATAGATTGTAAGTATATATTGAAAAGTACATACATTTAAAAGTTCTTTTTCTATTGATGAGAGATCAAAGTCGCTTTTTCATTTTTTCCCCCTCCCTTTTCGTTTCTTTAAATACGGTAAATTTGGTGAACGAAGTTTCCATTCATCGTCCCATCTCTTTCTCTTCATTACGAACAAGGCTTGCTTCCAAACCAATAGGATTATATCTGCATTGGTTTCGGATTCCCTCATAAGTAGATTAAATAAATAATTGAATATAAACCTCTTAACCTGTTAGAATCGCGAATATAATTCTCAGTATAAATCGAAAAAGGTGGTGGTTTTTCGAGAAAGGATAAAATCGATAATTCAAAATTTCTCGCGCAAATTTCTAATAAATCCGATAAATGAGAAATTAAACACGAAAGATGTTAATTTTCGAATAAAATTCCAAGATTTTATCATATCTTTCTATATATATTTTTCTAAACTTTCATTTTCCAAAATGACTTTGATTTATTTTTGCAAAATACTCCATTTCGAATATTAAAAGAGAATTATTATATCATTTCGATAGCGTAAGATCAATTTGTATTGTAATAAATTAATTTTCCAATAAACTGAATGCCTCAATATCAAGAAACGATATTGCGAACAGTAAAAAAAAAAAAAAAGAATTTTCGTAACAATCGAATCGTACACGATATTTCGTGAAATAATTTGAAAAATTTTCTTGTCTTATAATAAATCACTTTATACAAATCACACAAATTATTTATCATTGAAAATTATTGAATGTGGATATTTTCTTTTCTAAAAAATTTCATTTGCATGGCGTGTAAATCTGAGTGGAGTAAAGCTATTTTGAACGCGAATTACGGATGGTCTAATTAAGGCAATCTCTCGGCCAACGTCGTTAATGATCCAGTAACGCCGTTTACATTACATTACGCGGTATGTACAGTTAGTATATATATATATATATATATATATGGAGTCAAAGCAATGCATGATGTAACTGCTCATTGTCTCGTCTAGCGTGAAGCGAATTATATTAAAATTTTGATGATGATAGGATATAATGAACAATTGGCGTTAAATTGGATTGAAAATTATTATGCGACAAATTGAGAGAAGAGGACGACGATTTTTATATTAATCAATCATCGTTACATTAAGTATATAAGATAAGAAGATATAAGAGAAGATACGATGAGTCGTATTTAATTTTTTTTTTTTTAAGAATTTTTTTTATGCAATTACATTATTATTAAACTTGAAACGAATAATAATGTGACGTTTAAATGAAAATTCGATTTACATTTCTCGGCAGACATCAATCTCAATCGTTGGACGATACATCAATGTGTAATGGATTCAATCTGTAAGAAAAAAAACTTGCCTTGTGATGTTCAGAATACGTAACACACATATATACGTGTGTGCAATAAATCCAAGGTAAAGGGAAAAAGGATTATATCTATCTGGAATAAATTCAATCTGAAAATAAAAATTGTGACATTCAATACCTGTAATAAAATCCACAGTAAGTACATTTAATACATGCGCATATATCAACTTTATTCAAAACGTTTCATATAAAATTTTCCTTATGAAAGTACAAATAGTTAATACAATAACATATTTATATTAAATATTATAATTTCAAGTATCTAAAGAAAAGTTGCCTTGTAATGATAATACATATGTAATAAAGTCCTCTTGATCACATATCAAATGAAAAAAAAAAATACATCTATCTATAACAAATCCAATTTAAAAAAGAAAATTTATGAAACATGTGTGTATATACAAATATAAAATATATATGGAATGAAAAGAAATTTATAATATAAATTATATTATATTAATAATTTAAATCAAAGAAATTTATAATGTATTCAAAACATTAAATATTCCAAGTATCTATTGATTATTGAAAAATTACTTTATAACGTATAACAAAATTTACTTAACTATATCAAGTGAAAAAAGATTGCTTCATAGTTACATTTATTTGCAATAAATTCAATTTGAAAAAGAAAAATTATGAAATATACGTGTATGCACAAATATAAAATATATATGGAATGAAAAGAGATTTATAATATATTCAAAACGTTTAATGCACATTATTTATCATAAATAAAAATGTTCCTTTTAAAATTCCAAGTATCTATTGATTATGAAAAATTGCCTTATGAATGACAATATATATGTAAAGTTCCCTTGACCACATATCAAATGAAAGAAAGATTGCTTCATAGCTACATCTATCTACAATAAATCCAATCTGAAAAAGAATGTGTATACGCAAATATAAAATACATATGGAATGAAAAGAGATTGCTTTATAATGTATTCAAAACGTTTAATACACATTATTTATTATAAAGAAAAATTGTAAAATATCCACAAATATAAAAATACGTATATATCGAATGAAAAGAGATTGGTTTATGATATTCAAAATATTTGATACATTCATATATATTCGTGGAACGCACACTCGTATCTATCTACAATAAATCCAACCTGGAGAAGAAAAATTGGCTTACGACGATCGACTTACGTAACGCAATTTGCATACATATTAAAAAAAAAAAAAAAAATAAAAAAAAAAGAAAGAAAAAGTTGCAGCAAAGAGTGTATACACGATACATACAGACAGATATGAAAGGCCTTTTCTATGGAGTATACGAGAGAGAAGTAACGGAAATATTGTGAGACGGGTAGGAAATGCCTTGCGGTGCAATGGTTTAACTCGTTTGCGTGTGAAAAGGAGGAGAACCCTTTAAGCCTCACCGTGGCAACGTTATTGCGAATGCTCCTCCTTTTCCACATACTTGACACGTGTGTATACACACGGGGCTTTTCCACAAGGTTCAAAGGTAGACTACGTATTTAACGTTGCAGAGTGTCACTTATATCTTTTGGAGAGTGTCGTCTATTGTTTGTTGGTTAAATCAGTGAAGTGATTGAGTAAATAATATATTTTTTCTTTATTTTTTTTTTTTTTGAATATCTGTTGTTTGCACAAAGATTTCCTGTTTTAATAGAGAAATAAAAACAGAAGAAATAAAGGAAAGCTGAGGGAAGGTGAGAATGGAAGAATAATAGTTTAATTAATTGATAGTAGTTTTAATTAATTGAAGAATGGAAATGTATAATAATTAATAGATAATTGTTATAATAAATAATGAATAGAGATTATTTGCAAAAATTTCTTGTTATTTTAATGGAAAAATAGAAAATGAAAGAAGGAATAGAGGATGAGAATGGAAGAATACTTTTTTTTTTTTTTTTTTTTATAAAGAAATAGAAGGAAAAGGGATAATATGTAAATGGAGAATAAGAATAGAAGAATATAAAGTAATAAAGATAATAGAAAATTAAGATTATGATGTGATTGGCCTGAGAGAAAAATATTTGAGGATGAAATGGAGTAGATCTGATTAAAATTCAAAGCGAGATGAATATTTAATTAGACAAGTATTAAATATTTCAAAATTTTTAAATTTTTAAATTTGAATATTTATTCAAATATCAAATATCACAAAGTTTTCTCCTCTTACTATTTTTGATAATTCTATAGTATTTTTTTGAATATTTCATCAATCAAATATTTCAAATGAATTTGATTATTTAGTAAACATTATTGAATTTTAAATTTCCTGAAAATTAATAAATAAATATTAACAATTTTTATTTAATTATGATTATATAATTATTAATTATACAAAGGAAAAGAGAGAGAGAAAGAAAGAAAGAGAGAACGTTAGTAAGAAGCATAAATCATGAAAGTGTCTAAGAGGCACGTTTGCAGCACAAAGGATTAAACTTAGTTCAGTTTGGCTCGTTTTTGCTAACTGCTTGGACATCTCTAGTTTACTCAGTTTGGAAATTCCCTTGATTCAACTATGAATGTAAATGCATACAAAATAATCTAAAATAATATTTAACATCGATTCTTTACAATAATCAAATCTTAATACTGCAAAGAATTAAAAAATTTAAATTATATAAAATATTTTTTAAACAAATTCTTTATTATTAGAAATTTTTACAAAATCTATTTCAACATTACAATATTACAACATTTCAAATCAGCCAATTACAAAACAATTATTGTTATAACAATGAATATACTATTAACTAATACTAAAAATATAAATGTAAAGAAAAATTTCTCTACTTCAGTATATCTTAAATATTCAAACATCATTGACATTCGTGATAAACAAGAAGAAAATTAAACCACTCCAGATCCAAAAGTGAACTAATCCCTCTAAATTAAAAAAAAAAAACTTAACTTAATTTTATTCAACATTAACAACATAATTTTTCAACAAAATTGTCCTTAATTTATCATAAAAATCAATCGACTTAAATGATTCTTTGTAAAGAACAATATATAAAAATCTAACAGAAAGTGAAAGATTCCAATAAAATATCTATTGTGCGAATTAAAGCAACGATAAAAAAAATATATTCCACTTTAAAGGATTGATGGAGAATTGCACGCAACACCGACAAACACCCATAAAATCGATCGCGTCCCTCGCAATTAAGGATCTCCTCTCAAAAAATCAAATCGCACCGCCCTCCAAACGCTTGAATACCTCGCATCCTGCTACGCGTGGAAATCCGTGATCGTAAATCAGGCACCAGTTGGTCAGGCCACTGGTTCTCTAATCTATTCGAGGCTGGCTGGTGGCGCGCACCACACTTGGCACACACTGTGTACACACGTGTAATCTAGGAACCTAGTGTCCGTCGTTCGGCTATTTATAGAGGAAGGGAAAAATGGCCCGTGTCGATATATCGATTCGCGCCGACCTCCGTCTTCAACCTCCTCCCCCCTCGTGCGCCAATGTATTACCAACCGACGCTTTTAAACCGCGTGTTACACCGTTTTCTGAATTTCGAAATGGAACTGGAATTCCCGCCTCCGCCGAATCCTAACCTCGAATTTTTATCACGGAATTAGGTATAACTTTGTGTAATCGGTAGTGGATTTCTCGGAGTGGTCGAGATCAGGGGTGAATACACCCTTCTCGAGGAGTTTTGGAAAGAGGTATTTTTAACCTTTGTGTCGAATTGGAGAGTTGAATGGGTGGCTTCTTGACTTTGTTAGGGGGATTGTGATATCTAGAGATGATCCAATTTGTATAATGGAAGTCTTGTATTGCTTTTTTTTTTTTTTTTTCATTTTCTTTTGGATTTCTTTTTTGCCATATTGTTAGGAGATTATGGTTATTTGTAGAAATTTTAATAAGATGAAGTGTATATATATCAGTTTTTCAGTCGAGTTTATTATATTTCATTTTATCTTATGACATTCGAGCAGACTTTGCTCTATTTCAATTATATAAGAGATATATATAGATATATAGTGTAATCGAAAGTAATATCATTATACTATAGAGATTGTAATAATAGTGCGCAATTGAATATTTCATATAGCAGAAGAATTAGATTTATGAATTATAAATGAGAATTGAACCTGTTTATAATATATATATATATATATATATATATATATATAAGGTGTAAATTATATTGCACACAGATGATTGAAATTAAAATAAGTTCATAACTGAGTTATGAAATAATGATAATTTTTCCAAAAACAATCGATAATATCAAGAAAAGAAATTTAAAAGTTTGACTTAAATATATTACATATTATTCTTCGACAGAAGTCATTTTTATTACAATATTTAATATTTCTTTCTATTTAATAAAAGTTAGAATCAGAAAGGTCCGTACTCGTGTTTCAAAATTAAACACAATCGAGTATTGTGTTATCACCTTTTTTTCTTCAGAAATTTTCCCTCGAAATACTCAAAAATTTTCGTCAGCACGTTTTCGTATATATGGATGGCAGATACGCGACACGTATTAAATTCAAAATGGCTGTTTCGCGAATAAAATTTCGTAAAACGCAGCAAAAGTAGATGTTCAATTGTGTTTCATTCGAATTTATTAATTAATTGAAAATCGCATCTTGTTATAACAACTAAATATTATTAAATATAATAATAAATATTTTAAATTCTATCTAGAATTTCTTAAATACTTATATAGTTACTCTTAAAAATACTTACATAGAATTACACTATACTTACATAGTATAATGGCATAAGTTTTCTTAAATCGATTCTAAAATTTGAGTATCGAGATATTAAAAAGATTGTTAATTGAAGAATGGAGATGTATAATAATTAATAGATAATTGTTATAATCAATAATGAATAGAGATTATTTGCAAAG